ATGGGCCTGTTTCCAGCCTCCAGAAGGCCAGAAATGGGCCTGTTTCCGGCCTCCAGAAAGCCTCCGGAGCCCGGGGAGTATGAAAACAGGCCCTCCCTGCTATGGTGCAGGAGGCCGACTAGGCCACGCCCACCATGGCCATGTCCACCCAGCAACTGTCCAGAGAACCAGTTGCTAAATTATTTGAAGCCCACCCCTGACTAATCCTAACAAGACAGCACCCAATAATTCCTATAGCTATGACTTACCCCTTTTTTGAGTGGAAGCTAAAACAAAAGGTGTGACTGGACGATCAGCAAAGGCTTGTGAATGGTCAATTAGTCCTTGTTTCACAGCTTGGTATCCAGAGAGGATTATAATATGATAAGGGCCTCCCCACAGAGAACAGATGTTGCCATATTGCTTGGCAAGCTGTAGTTAGGGAACATGGAAGAAAAACAGTTTGCTGTATTAGACATAATTGATTAAGTTATCCCTGTTCATACTCAGTCACTATGACTTGGAAAGTTTTAATCCACTGCATGATGTGGATTAAAGATATTGTTCTTGAATCTTTAACTTTAACCAATGTATAGCAACAGAAGTAGTACCGGTAGCCCCCGACTTACAACTGTTGATTCAAAGTTACAACGGCACTGAAAAGAGGGACTTATGACTCCCTTTTGCGGCCTTCTGAGAGGCCAAATCAATGGGGAATTCAGATTCGCTTAACAACCAGGTCACTTACTTACCAACTTAACGACTGTGGCGAGAAATGAAGCAAAACTCATTTAACAAGTGTCTCACTTAACAACAGAAATTGTGATTGTAAGTCCAAGGACTACTTGTAGTAGCAGCCACATCAGCAGTAATAGATTATAAACTATAAACCTTTTTTTTTTCCTTCAGCAGCTGATTGTAATAGTGAAATGGCTTCCCAGAAAAGGTGCAGGAGTGAGGATGGTGTGTTCCAGGACTGGTGGACTGTGGAAGTATTTTTATAGGTGAAAGTGGAGATGTCCTTTTCTTGTCTATGGAGATTCTCAATCACCCAGGTTGAGTGGTTATATCCCAAAAGGGCTTTTCAAAGAAAGCAGATGGACTTTCTTGGGTTTTTTTTTCCTTTGAAAATGTTACCCTTCTCCTCCAAGAAGCTTCTGAACTGAACTGAAGAAGTTTCTTGAATGAGATATGAAATGTTTTGAGGAAAAAAAAAAAAAAGAAAGTCCAGTTTCCTTTTGGAAAAACACTTAACAGATAATCAGAGTTGGAAGGGACCTTGTAGGTCACCTAGTCCAACCCCATGCACAAGCTGGAGACCCTACACCATTTCCGACAAATGGCAGGCCAATCTCTTCTTGAAAGTCTCAACACTTATGACGCTCCCACAACCCTTTTCATTTCTTGGTTTTAAAGGAGCATTCTCTGCCAAAAATGAAATCGCTCGTGGATGAATTCTAGTTGTCTGTGAAGCAGTGGCAGAAAAGTTACTGTTCTCTTTTCCACAACACGTAGATGGAGGCTATGGCATTGGAAGTGGAGTTCTTTTTTTCAACAAAGAAGTAAAAAAATTGGTCTTAATAACAAAAATAATAAATAAAACAATAATAAAAGAGGGCAAGGGGCATGGAGCTAAGGCCTATGATGAGAGACTGAAGGAAATGGTTCACCTAATGTTGTACCATAAGTCTCTGTTACAGGTCCTTTGCAACCCAGGTTCAGGATGAGTTATAGTACCCAGAAAACTTGCCGATTACCTTTGGAGAGCTCAGGACAGGGTGGTTCAGTGATCCTGACCCTCCTGGATCTCTTAGAAGTTTTCCATACCATTGACATGATATTCTCTAACCAGCTTCTTCGATACCATGGACCATGGTATTCTAGAACAGAATAACAGAGTTGGAAGAGAACTTGGAGGTCTGCTAATCCAACCCTCCATTCAGATTAAAAAAAAACCCTATACCATTTCAGACAAATGGTTGTCCAATCTCTTCTTTAAAAACTTCCAGTGTTGGAGTATTCCCAACCTCTGGAGGCAACTTGTTCCACTGAATAATTGTTCTAATTATCAGGAAATTTCTCCTTGGTTCCAGGTTGCTTCTCTCCTTAATTAGTTTGCATGCATTGCTTCTTCTTCTGCCCTCAGATGCTTTGGAGAATAGCTTTGGAGAATAGCTTGACTGCCTCTTCTTTGGGGCAGCCCCTCAAATATTGGAATGCTGCTATCATGCCACCCCTAGTGCTTCTTTTCATGAAACTAAACATTCCCAATTCCAGCAACCGTTCTTTATATGTTTTAGCCTCCAGTCCCCTAATCATATTTGTTGCTCTTCTCTGCACTCTTTCCAGAGTCTCAACATCTTTTTTACATCATGGCGACCAAAACTGGATGCAGTATTGCAAGTGTGGCCATACCAAGGCATTATAAAGTGGCATTAACACTTCACGTCATCTTGATTCTATCGCTCTGTTAATGCAGCCTAGAACTGTGTTGGCTTTATTGGCAGCTGCAGCTCACTGCTGGCTCATATTTAAGTAATTGTCCACTAGGACAAAGATCCTTGCTCACAGTTACTATTGAGCCAGGTACCATCTATGCCAGTGGTGGTGAAACTTTTTGGTCTCAAGTGCTGAAATGGAAGCTCACGTGCACTGGAAACTGGAAGAGCAGCTCCCTGATGTGCGTGCGTGGAAGCACCAGAAACAGGAAGCTTAGCTTCCGGGCACACACATGCACAGTGGCAATCTGGTCTTCCAGTTTCTAACCTGCATGCAAGAAGACCAGATGACTGGCATGCACATGCGCACACCGAAACCCAGAAAAGCAATGGGCAGAAGAGCAGGTGATGTTATCACAGTGCATTTACATGAAACTTCTGGGTGAGATCATTCACCAGAATGGGGTTTGGTGTTATCAGTATGCTAAAGATACCTAACTGTACAGAACGATTCCATTCCTGACCAGGCAGGTGATGTTATCATGGTGCATGTGATACGAATATAGCTTGAAGGGTTTGCTTATCCTAATTAATTTTGTTGTGCAAAGGAAGCCTTTGTTTCTTTGTTCTCCTGCTTGTTCTCCTGCTTGAATTTATTTATTTATTTTATTTTGTCAAGCAATTATAAGATAACAGGTATAAGTATAAACATAGTTATGAATACATGAAATGGATATGAAGAAAAAAAAAAGAAACAATAGGACAGGGACGGTTGCATGATCACTCCCCCCACACAAGGTACCTGTAGCTTAAACACCTTCAGAGGTGGTATTCAGCTGGTTCGGACTGGTTCTGGCATACCGGTAGCAGAAAATGGAGTAGTTCAGAGAATCGGCAAATACCACCTCTGGCTGGCCTTCCCAACCCACCCTCACCCTTTCCTGTCCTATATTCCCTTGTATTTTAGCTTAGCTGATTCACGTGGCAGAGTGGATTTCCGCACCTCAGCTGAGCTAAAAAAAAACAGCTCACCTCACTAGCGCTGACATAGAGGGTGGTTTTTGAGTGCTGCACTCCGTGAAGTGTGTTCTCATAGAGCCGGTAGGAAAATTATCTTGTTACAAGCGCTGATAACCCTATTAGATTTAGATTGCTGGGGACAGAAATGTTCTGTATCAAGTAACTCTCTCTTTCCATGGTTTAGTTTAAATGTTTCTCCAGAAAATCCATGAATTTAATGGTTAGTAACTCAGTCTGTTTCGTTGATGGACGCAAACTGTTGTGAACTAAAGAAATGTAATTAATAAAGATTCATTTGCATAGCAGGATCGTAATCCTGCACTTCCTATTGGCCCTTATAATGGCAAGTTATGATTGGTCCATTCCGAGCAATCTGACTGGCTGTTGGTGGGCCGAGTCCCATTGGACGAGGTTCAAACCCTATAACATCATCCATTGGTCATCCGGATAGCAGCTCACTCTATAAAAGGGCGGCCGCTATCCGGGGTTTTTTTGTCTCTGTTATCATGCTTTAAATAAAGAGCTGAATTCACGAGAAGCAGTTTCGTTTCCGTTTCTAACCCATGCCTCATACTTAACACAAACTATCTCTTTTGTACAGTTTTTCATCAGACCAGCTGCAAACATTGCGATTAATATAACCAAAACCTGCCACTTTACACCACTCCTTCAGCTACACATTGAACTCCACTATACATTGGCCTTTTCCTTTTTGTTCCTTACATACAGGAAGTAGTGGGATTAAGCCAGTTCACACCGGTTCACTAGAACCAGTAGCAAACTTCTTGTTCAGTTTGGAGAACCAGCTGAAACCTCACCCCTCCCCTCCCACTCCCAGACACTTCTCGCCTTGCCTCAGCCAGGCCACTCACCCAATCTTACTAGAGTCACTTCGTATGGTGATGCCACCCAAGGGGAAGGGAGTGGGAGCAGGGAGGTTTGCTCGCTCCTTTTCTCTGCGCTTGCACCGTTCAGCCTTTCCTTTCCCTTTTCAGCATCCAAGCCATGCAATTACCACCATGGGCCAACAGCAGCTGTACTGGAGCTAACCAGGAAGTTCAGGCAGGGCTCACACTCCTGGTAAATCCATGGACAACCCCCAACTTCCTCTTTTCGGCCTCTGCTAGGCCCAGCGCCAATGCCGTATGGTGCACAGCAGCCTATATAATTGGGCCTGGCAGTAGCAGGGAACACGGGATCACCTGAAAGGGGGATAGAGAAGGGGGCGGCCGCTGGCAGAGAGAGGAGAGTGCGAGGTCGATGCTTCTGGGACGAGGGGAACCCGGAAGTGTCTGGATCCAGCTCACCCAGCCTCTCTTCCTCTCACGGCCGCGTGTGCTCCAACTTGCAGAGAAAATTGTTTCACTGAATTCACTGGAATGCACATTTAAGTAAACATTTACAGGATCAAGCTGTACTTCAATTAAAACATATACTGGCATATAGTTTGCGTAAGGTGGTTACTGTATTTTTTGGTGTATAAGTGCACTTCCCCCCCCCAAAAAAAAAGTGGGTGGAAATGTCTGTGCTTCTTATACAGTGAATGTTGCCTAACACCACCACCCCATGCGCTGGCCCCCACCCTTCAGCCTCTGCCTCCCAGCAATTTGCCTCCTTGCAGCAAATAACAAACAGCCTGGTCATCTTCAGCACAGTCTGATTAGCACAAGCAGCTGATTGTCAGTTGGATCGGCCTCCTGGTGATCAGCTGTTTCAGGCTTCAGGAATCGCCATCGCCTACTGCTGCCTCTGCACGCCCCATTTTTTGCCTCCGTCACCCTGTTTTCAGCCTCCGCATGCCCCATTTTCAGCTCGTTCCAGGCAGCGGGAATTGGAATGAGCTGAATATGGGGCACGTGCAGGCCAAAAATGGGGTGTGTGGAGGCAGCAATAAGGCATTCTTGCCAAGATGCAGAACAGCATCAACATTACACTTCTTACTTGCTATCTTAAAAATACGCCACTTGTCTCTGC